AATACCCTTCAAGCTCTCTGGCCTTCTAAATAACACTCTTAGAAATGGTCTAGTTAAAAAACTAATTATCCTCAAAGCATCCTCTAAAGTTGTTTAGACTTGGTCTTTGACAGAGAAAGTGAGTTTGAATGGTATATCCTCTGAGACATGAGGCCTCTATCTGGGTAGCTATGAGGATGGCTCTGAACTGTGATACCTGCACCCTGACAGCACATTAGGGAGTGAGCCAGCATGCATCAGTCCCTCCACACTGCCTGCCCTGCTTTCCACGGGAAGAAAACCTGTAAGAAACTCAAGGAAGAATCTATGGTGGCCTCCATCAGCCCCCTCATCTGGACTTTGAGGGACCCAGACTTTGGGGCACAGTGCAGAAGGCACTGCATTTGCCCCATAGTTCTTGTGTAGCATCCGAGTCCTTGAGCTGATGAATTACTAGGCTAAAAATACTCAGTACTGGATTTGGACCAGAGAACCGAATTTGGAAGCCAGTGGAGTTTATGCAACATCGAAGTCGTGTGGCCCAGGGGGGTAAACCTAGATGTGCAGCTGCCTGAGATCTGAGTTGCACAGAGTAACAGCACTTGGGGAATTGCAGAAACGTTCACACCTCCAAGAGGGACTTCTAATTCCTTAGCCAACTGGACAGGCAGAAACATCCCCAGCTACTGCTGCTAGCAATCACGTTGCAACACTGTGGGATCCAAGCAGGAGATTTTATATTTGGGGGTCAAATTCTTGAGGGGATGTAAAATGGTTCCCTCATGTTTTCTGCACTGGGGAGCAGATGACTCATCCTCACTGCACAGTTATGCACTGAGCAGGGATGTTTTTTTCAGTATTGACCTAATAACATTCTTATTGGTGTTATGCAGAACAGAAGCACACCAGAGCTAACCATTTAGTGCAACTATTTAAGTAAATGGTGCAAGTAACACGTCATATGTGAAACTTGCAGGAAGTCCCAGGGCTTCTGGGTGGATGTCTGAGTCACAGGGAGGGGGTGTCACAGAAAAGGAGTTTCCTTCTCAGCTCTTCTGGCTTTTGTTCTTAAAGATTTATAATAGATTTTGCCAGGATAAACCGAGTGGTTTTTCCCAACTGCATCCTGTAGGTCTATGGTGCCCAAACTGAATGGTCTTTAACATTAGTCTTTAAATCTTTTAATGTAGTGATTAAACATGACAGGGATTAAGTCCCTGTCCAATAGCAGCTCACCTAGGTGCGTTGTTAGATGCAAAGCACAAAGCCAAATGCTCTTAAGCACCCAAGCATACGGCTGTTTCAAAATGGAGCAAGCTCCATCACGTCTTGTGATTAGGAAGCATTTCTTTTTTATTGAAGATAGAGTGGAATAAAATGGTGATAAAAAGAAAGACTTCCAGAGCAGAAGAAATAGATTGCTGACGAAGGTTAGAAATGCAAGGGTTTTATCCTAAGTGTTTTTAAATATAGGTATATAGTATAGTTTAGATATATTTATGAGGTACCTAGTCTAATGGAAAAAGAACTTGCAATTTCGTAATTTCCTCAAGTATCCAGACAAGAGACTAAATTACTCATATAAAGCAAATCAAATAGAGTTTGACACACAAACCATCAACTAATAAAAACATTCTTCTGGTTGCCAAGTCACCTAAAAATCTCTCAGAAAATGTCAGAAAGGAAGTATATGTGTGAGCCATAGAGCCTTTAATTATGCCAACACATGGTATATTTATTCTTGCAGAATTTTTGCCTCAGCATGTTTTTTCCCCTCATCTTTTTATGTGGTTTTTAAGGTTACCATACAATTCATGCTTGATTTTAACCCAAAATCCTTTGTTTCCTTATTGGCCTTTTCCTATGATGTTAAATTACTATAGCAACCGAGTGCTTCCCATGGCTTTATTTTCATAACATCTCAAAAAGATGAATGGATAGCATTACTGTGCTTTACAGTTTAACAATAGAAAGTTTGAGGTAAAAAAATGAAGTAAGTTTATTCATTTACTGAGGGAAAATGCCATTTAAAGAAAATTAAATTGTTCATTGATGGGTTTTGTTTTTAGCTGGAAACCCCTCTGGGAAGTGTAATTGTGTCACTCTGGAAGTGTAATACTTCTGTTTTTTCCTCCAGAAGAATAAAATCAAAATATTTTCCTTCCACGTTTGAATTTAAGAGGAACACATTTGGGATTTTTTGCACTGGCTCAAATATTTAATTTGAAATCTTGTATCTTAAAAAGAAGTGAACTCGGTAAGTGGAGCAGAGTCCTTTGCAGATTGTGTCTCCTAGCGTATATTCTCTCTATAGGGTTACGTTATGCTACCAGCTGTGGCAGATGGAATCAAGACTGGGAGCCTGGCTTTCTAAAAAGCGAAGAGAACCCATAGATTTATAATATTATTGATACCTGTGGACATGCTAACAGCCAGGACAAAAATGTGAATTTCCCTGCAGAACTGGTGCTGGGTGTGAAATGAAGTAGGTGGCGGAGAGCAGCTGCCTGCTGCCTTTTGTGGGGTGGCTTTTGGGAGATATGGGATGCTTTGTCAGAAACTCCCATAGGCATTTCTGGACAGAAAATTGAAAAAAAAAAAAAAGGAGAGCCTCAATACCTCTCAGGTCCCAAAACTTTTGCTTTAATCTTTCTACTTTTTCTTTGCTTGCTGCTTTGCACTTCTTGCTCTCTCCTGTTGCCGCATGCTTGCTCTGCATTCCTGGCTCTCCCCAGACTTCTGTACTTCTCGTGCTATGTTTTATTTATACATTATTCTTCCTATTCCTTTGCTGAACACCAACCCCTGCTTTGCTCTTTCATGCTCTCACTACTCAGCCAGTCCCAGTTTTTCAGTTCTACTCCCCCTGAATGTTGTTTTCCTCATTTTCTTGTTATTCTCCAAACCTGTGTCTTCCATTTTGCCCTCCTGATCTTCTTTGCCTTTTCTCCCTCCAGCTGCTGGTCCTCTGCCCCCTGCCTCTCCAAAACCCTTCAGACTGATTGTCCCCATTCTCTCCATATCTGAATCAGATGTCTTTTACATGATGCTTAGATGGGGTATTGCTCTTCACTTTCAGCCACTGCTCAGGCTGAAGCATCTCAGAGCCATGGAAGCGCAGCTCCAGGCAAAAGGGATAGCATGTGACAACACTGTCAGTCACTTTGAGGAGACCTTTCTGAGGACGGAGGGGTGTGGACATCAATAAGGCTGCTCATGGACAAACAAGATGTATAAATCAGGATCCTTTAGCAGACCTGGGGAGGATGTGGGGGGCAGAGGGAAGGGATTGTGGGTGGAAGGCAGGGGGTTGAGGTGGAGACTGCCCAGTTCCTCCAAGGTGGCCTTTTAGACAGCCTTGTTACTGCCAGCGCTCCTCTCCAGGGTTTGCTTTTCCCATCCCCTCTGAAGGAGCAAGAGTTAAAGTAAATGGAGGCAGCTGGATGTGGCCAAAGCCCTTGGCATGCCTGCCTGACCCATCCAGCGGCACCTGCCTCCTTCACTCTCTCCCACCCACACCCTTCATGCACAGGGCTGTCTCCTCTCTCCAGGCAGAAAGGCAGCATGAGGCAGGTGCTGTTTTGATCCTACTCTCTTTTTTTGATGCATGGTGGCATGATCCGGCTAGGATTTTGTGGGGTTGCATAAAGGATGCTTTGGCCTTTCACAAAATCCCTTTACATGAACTGCTGCTGGAGGGAAGCTGCCCTTCAAGGGGGAGAGATTTTTCAACACAGGAGATTATTTGCAGCAATGTGTGCAGGCAGGGTTGGTCAGAGCCATCTTCCAGCTTAGTTGCTGCCTAACCTAAATTTTGAGGTTGCTCAAGGAAGGCTGAAGAAACAGGGAAATGGTGCATAAGCTGAGGACAAAGCACACTGAAACTGAAAAACTACACAAGGAAAGACATCCTCTGCGTGGCAAAGAAACTGTGATCTGTACTTACTGCTGGACTTATCTGTACCTTATTTCTGAAAACCGTTCATCTGTATGGATAGTACAGCTGGGTTAAGTTTAAGGAAACAAAGACTTTACCCAAAGTTGTTCTCCATCCCAGGAAATTACCTGAAAATATAATACATATGGAGCAATCTAATTTTTAAAATGGCTAAAAAATTAAAAGGAAAACACTTTTAATGTGTATTTTAATGAGTTTCAAGGACAGCAAAAAAAATTTAGCTGTATGTGGAAAGCTAATGTAATCCATATCGGTAGGGAGTTACCTAACACATCTGGGCAGAGTTTCTGCTGGTGGCCTTTGCTGGTCATCTTTGCAATGGAACAGGCAATATGTGAATGTTTTGGGGCCCCTGCTCTAGATTACTCTCTTAGAGCCTGTTATTTCTGTTTCCCTTGTTTGCTGACAGTCACCAACTGGGTCCTGACTTTGGGGCTTGGCTATCCCACAAAATGAGCAGGAACAATGTGCCTTGGACCCCCAGAAGGTACAGGTACAAATGATAGAGGCCTTTCTGATAGCTTCAGTTGGGGTATTTTGTTATTATTTGTGTTTCTTTTGAGCTGAGAGGATCACAAAGAAGATTTAAGTACCCTTGCACTGAATTTCACAGGCAAAACAACCATGAACATTGAAAATAAAAGTGTCTTTGGAGAGAAGCAGGAGGTGAAAACAGCAGGTGCCTTGAATGCTACTGCAAAGATGGTCACCAGGGTTAGCAGAGGTCCCAAGTAACCTGTAAGTATATAAAACCCCTTTTCAGCTAAAATAAATCACTGCAGCTTCCCTCTCACAGGTGACCAGAGATTTACTCAGTTTACACTCAGTTTAGGATCCTCCCAAAGAGCTTGCAGCCTCTTCTGAACTCCTCTGCACAAATAATCCCCAACTCTTGCTAAGTGTCCAGGCAACCCCAAAATAATTTTTATCTTTATGCTTTCAAATATCACTGTTGCTAAGGGAAAAATCACTACTGTTTCCTCCTCAGCTTTCTCTTTGCTGCTCTCCCCCTTGTCAGTGAGGATTAGGCTTGACTGCAGCTGATTTTGCTGTCTCACTCCCTGCAATGGGGTGCCAAGCATTCCACAGTGACACAGCAGCTTTTCCCCTGTCCCTCCATTTCCCTTGGCTGCTCCAACTCCCCCAAAGCCACGGGGCTGCAGATTTTCAGCGATGCAGGTAGGTGATAAGACTTTGAACTTTTGCTGGGGGCTGGCTTGCTGCAGCGGGTCTGAAGGGTGCAGTGAGGTAAAGGAGCAGGTGAGGGGCCACTGGCTTATAATGGACCTTACCAGGGGTGAAGCAATTCAGTGTTTACTAATATTCTGCATTGGTAAAACAACACAAACCACTTTTTTTTTCTTTATTTTTTTGTGGAAGCAAGGATACCATTATGAAAAAGTTGTAAGTATGTATATCGATGTGTGCATGTGTGCACATATGCTTGTTTGGATTCAGAAATGGAATTGATGGCAACTAAGACAAAAAATGCAAGCACATTCTTTTTTACTTTTGTCAGACCTTTTCATGAGCCTGACCAGTAGTCACAGGACTACTGGTTGTTGATTTTCAAAAATGCAATGAAATTGTGATCCCATTGACATTTCTATGAATTTTAATGGATATGAGCTATTAAGACAGTGAATAAAACCTATAAGACCTAACTTTTCTCTTGACTACTTGAAATATGGTGGTTTATTATTATTGCTGTCATTCTTGTGGCCAGTCTGATGTGCTAATGCTAAATTTCAATCTTTTTGAAGACTCTCCTGGAAAACAAATTAGGAATAATCCTGCATTAGCATGGACAGCTCACATTCCGCTCTAATTGATACATTATAATTTTCCCTCTTCTTTTTTCCTTCTGATTTTCTAAAGTACTTTTCAGTTTCTCCAAATCACTTTGTAAATTTACATTCTGGCTTGGCCGGTCTATTTTTCTATTTTAGAAAAGACAAGTTGGCTTGGCTAAGTAAATTATTTTCCTTCAGATGAGAGGGGTTTCGCTAAAGTGTTAGTTCACAAAATGCAAAGTTCCCTGACTGGTGAACTGTATTAATTGATGCAGATGCAAAGTTGTCCAGCTGGAGGAGTTGCTACTTGTAAAGGCATGAGTAGGAAAGAAAGTTGTTCCCCCCACCCCACCCTGTGTTACCTGTATATCCAAGGCCAAGGCCAAGTCTTTGGGTGGGGTGCCTGCAGGATAAGCCTACGGATGAGCAGAAATGGAAAGGATCTTACCTCTGCTTTTTCTTTCAGGTTTCACGCACATACTCACACTCTGCCACAATCACTTTGGTCTTCCCTGGGTTAAATTTTTAACTCAAGATGCCTGTCTCAACTGAACTTCAGAAAACCCAGGAAAGCACATCATCTGTTTTATAGGGAGCAGGGATGCAGAACCAAGTGATATGAGAGCACCTCTGCAGTACCAGCTGATGCTAGTGCAGAGGCTGAAGATATCATACTAATTTCATTTTTTTTGTTTTATATTTATACTTTATTGCACTGGTGTCATCAGAGAAGCTTAAGCTCTAGACGATAATCTAGACAAGCTTGTCCTTTCTATTTCATTGGCAATCATCATCTGTCCCAAAAATTTTATGTACTCTAAGCCGCTTACACTCACAGACTTTTGACTTTACTTTTTTTTTTCACTGAAATCCTTGTACCTATCTCTGGCTTGAAGTCTTATGCAGACTGAGAACTGTATTGTGAAAAATCTGTGAATAAGTATTTTGGCTGGTTAATATTCCCTGCCCGGTGCTGAATAGCAAATTAACTCTGCATGTATTAAAATGCTAACCATTCTAAGCACTGGTTCAAAACTTATATTAGTTATTGCAAAACTTCATCAACTTACTGATCATTATCTGTGCACTGGAACAGCCCGTCTATACAAAAATTAAAAATCAAAGAGCAGATCAGGTTGATGATGTTCTCAGCTGTATTTCTTTCTGTCAGTGTGTGCTGAGGGACTGAAGGAAAGAGGTGTGTGAAATTCTTCCCAGGCTGTAATTGGCTGTTTTTCCTTGCTGCTCTGCCTGACTTTCCCCTTAGGCCGTACTCAGAGATGAACTCCTGTACAGAAATGGGGAAAATCTCAGAATAATTGCACAGCCCTCAAAAAGAGCAGCTTGTCCTTTATAGAAGAAAGAAATAGCAAGTAATATTTTATGTATCTTTAAGGGAAAGGAACACTACTTGCAAATGAATGATTTTATATGCAATGGAATTTCAAATCAATAAGCAAAAAGGAACACATAATGCATGGATAGAGGCGTCAAGTGAATCTTTTCATCAGGACTCTTGGAAAATGCTACCCAAGAAAAAAATTAGTTGTGTAAAAAGCTATGATATGCTTAACTCTGCAAGCAGAGTGGCTGTATAATTAACCACACTATCCGGGGAGGATGCTGTGTTAGAAGATCAGCTGAGAGAAGTGGAGTTAAAATAGCACAACAAAAGAACTGTGGAGAAGAACTGATGTTAGTGACTGCCATCCACACATGCAAAGGAATAGTCGTTGCATTTCATATTCCAGTCATAGCAGACTTCAGAGCCTCTGCTACTTTTGAAGAGAAACATGCTGAAACTAGGATTTCTGAAATAGTGAAATAATGAAATACTGAAAACTCGTGTGTGCGTTATACCATCTTTTTTTTGTTCGCAAACCTTTGTTTGTAGGTTAGAGGTTTGGCCCACCCCAAGTCCCTGAATAGGCAATGAAGAGAGAGGGACTCCTGGCTGGAATCTGCAAAAGTGGTAAAGCACCCCTGCTTGGTTGTGAAATCCCTGAGAGCAACACAGTGGACCTTAACAAATATTTCAACACAGAGTATGCTGAAAGATATTCAATATGGCAGATATGCCAAAATTGGTCCCATTTTTCTATTTCATATCTTAAAAATAAAGCCAAAAAAGATTTAGTTTTAGCCAAGCCACTAAGAAAAAAATGAAATCATCATACGGTGTGTTTCAACTATGGCAACAACACAGGGAAACTGTCAACAAAAGCTATAAATTGAGTATGAGTTTTTGAGCATGTTTGAGCATGTTTGAGCATGTTTGAGCATGTTTGAGCATGCAGGGATGAAAATAAGACCAGTTAGGGAAATTTGAGGTATCTTTGTTCCTCTTTAGAGCAAAGACACCATTTCCAATCTTTTCTTGGACAACTGCCATCTCTTGCTGCCCTCGTACTTCCTGGGTTGCTCATGGCTCTTCTCTCTTGCACAGACAGTGACATTTTCTCTCAGTGTCTTGTGTCAGTTTATTAATCTTTTCTGAAGAGCACTGTGCTCAGGGCTTCTCTCTGTTTTCCCCTGCTGGTTTCAAAGTGGGAACACCACTCTCTTGAAACTTGGCTGTTTGGGAACTCAGCTGAACTGTGGATCTGGTTTTCATTTTTGCAGTCTTGTGAATTCTGTCTGGTTTTGTCTCCCTGTGGCCACATTTAGCTTCTCCCAGCTTTTTCCTATTTGCTAGTGCAGTAGAACAGGACCTGCTAATTCATAAACAGGCACTCCCGTGTCTGCTCCAGCATCCTCTTTGGGACAATGGAAAGGGCCAGATCTGGCAGTGAAAGGTCTGAGAAATGTTGGAGCAACATAGATGAAATTAATCTCCTTGGAGGGGAAAAAGTTTGCTCTTGCCTACCCTCAAAGACCACTTTATGTCTTGCAGCCTATGCTGGAAGGTAGCCTCCATTAAAATCAAATCACATCTTTATTTTTAGCACTTGATATATTGTCTTTTTTTCCATGCACATTTCCATTCCCTTTTAATTTGCAAACTGCCGGCCTCGGTTGCCTCCAGTGGGAAGGAACTTCACCAGGCAGTCATATGCTGTGGGAAAGGATTGCTCTTCACCCTTTGTCTTTCATTTTCAGCAGATGCCCTCCTGCTCCTGTATGATGGGAAATGATGAACAGGACCCATATTCTTTGGTGCCATTCATTATTTTGAACACCTTCATCTTTTCCCTTCTCTGAAGCAAAAAGGTTTGATTTTACTATTAATCTATAAGCTTTTCATGCCTCTAATTATTTTCATTGTCATTTCTGAACTCCTTTCATGTCTGCTTTGTCCTTCTCAAGGTGTCCAGAACTGATCCAGAAGCACTTGGTTTGGGTAATAAAAAGTATTTTCAGAATTGCCTCCCTGTTTCATTCTTTTTCTTTCCTAACTCTTCCTCTTTTTAGCACTACGAGACATCTATGGCAAAATACCTACAGTGACAACCAAGTGTTTTTCTGACTCTTGACAGTTAAATTTAGAACCTAGAAGATGTAGTTCATATTCTTCCTCTCAGAAAGCATCATCTTCTGTTTGAAAATGCTGCATTCAGCTGTGATGGCATCTTGCTTTGCTGGTATCTCATGCAAGCTTCTCTCTTGATTTACTTAAATTTTTTTTGCTTTCCACCATTTTCACTCTCCCATTTCTTTGTTAATTTTCAAACCCCCAGAAAAAAAATCTTTTGTCACTTGATTGTCCAAGATTGTTTTGTATCTGCATGTTGTTTCTCTCCATTCCCAGAGCCTGAGTTTATCTGTACTTGTTACAACATAACTTGAGTAATTTTGTACTTTTTTGTATTGTCCATTTTTAAAATACTTTTAATCCAGGTCAGATTAAGGCATTACTATGATTTATTAGCAGGTCTGAAAAAGTCTGACTAGTCTTGACTAGCCTGTACTTATGACGAAACCACTTTATCAACTAGGATAAATCATTAAGGTTCACTCGGAAGCACAGATGTCAATCAGATCATCAGTTGTACAGGCTGCAGAAGGCCACGGTGCAGCAAATAATAATTGTTTGCAAATTTGTAGGCTTTTTTTTTCATGAGACATAGTGACCTACAAACAAGGAGAACAGTGTAGATATGTATATCATGATTACATCAGCCATCATAGGGCCAAATTGGCTGATCGGAGAAGATGACAAAATTCTTTTTTAGATAAAAATGCTTATTCAAGAATTGCTAAATCTTTTCTCATGACTGAAAAATAGTCGCAGTTAAAAAAATTTAGTTAGGTATTTTTTAAAAAAAATACAAAAAAACTCCACACAAAGCCCAGTTTCTTTGTCAGTTGCTGGTTTCTGACTTGGGGACTGTTTCCAGAGCAACAGTTGATAATATAACAAACACTGAAGGAAGTACACGAGATAATTCCCTCTTCTACTTTAGGTGAGAGTTGTGTCCCTCCATTATCACTAAGGAAATGAGGAGTATCTTGCACTGAAAAGTATTTACTGCGCATCTCTGCCTGAAGTACGTGGAGCCTGTGCAGTATCTTTGATACCTGATGTTTGCCAAGAGATGGAGCTGCAGAGTCAGGCTACCTCCCAAGCCTGACCCGGTAAATCAGGAACGATAGAATAAAACCCTTGGCAGCAAAAGCCTGTAGCCTCTCATACTGATGCCTGCTACTCTTCCCAAGTGACAACGAGGCTTGTGTTGGGCACTTAGCCAACTCTGTCCAATCTATTCCAGTTTATTTCATTAAGCCATGGCTCAGAAAAGCCAAGAAACAAGCCATATTAATCTTGATGGATCCTGGCCTCTGCTCAGGTAATGTTATAGAAAATGCTCAGCAGCCCCAGAGTTGAGCAGTAACAGGATGAAAACAGCTGCTCTCTTGGACTTGCCTTAAAACCTCTGTTCCCTACATATACTCCTGTGAAATGTCAGTTCCACTGCACAGTTGTTACTCAGCTGGTAATTTTCTGGGTTACTTTCACAATTTAGGCATTGCTCTAAACCTTGTCTCAGGTTTTAGTCATTTGCAGTGTGAGACAGAAGATAGCAAAAGGATTCCCAAACTGCCAGAGACCTGAGTTTGTCAATCTGTGAAGCGTCCCTCTCCATATGGATTTACAGGCTTAGCTCTGGAAGCCATAAACCTGTGTTAGTACAGAGTAAAGCCAAGTATTTTTGGAGCAGAGCTCGGGTTCAACCCTGGGTTAATGCACTGATCTGGCATGTCTGAGCCAGCTCCCATCCACACCATGCTCCTGTCCTTCCCATCCCAGCGCCCCGCCAAGTGGAACAAGTCCAGGTTTGTCTGTACCTGCCCGTAGTATCCCGGGATTGCCTGGAGCTACTTCGGGATAAGGTACATCATGGGGAGTCTGCTGAGCTAATCGGGCTCTCAGTCCTCTCCAAGGCCCAGGGGATTCTCAGAGTAGACATTCCTGCAAACCAAGTCACTCCAGTTTCTGGGTCTTCCCACAACAGTTGGGTCTGACTCTGCCACATCAGTCTCATGCAAAAAAAAAGAGCCATGAAAGGGCAAGAACTGACTTACCCAAGTACCCTCTTGCACCCGTGAGCAGTCAGGGCATTTTGTTGTTTTAAAATCTGTGTTCTGCTTCATTTGCTTAATTCAAAATCCTTGTGCCTACTGATTCATTAGGTGAGAACCAGCAGATTAATATGGGATAAATTCTGCCTCAGTTGTGCTCCCAGATGAGGGAGGAAGGGAGAGAGGGAGGTGAGGGAAGAGAGGTGAGTCTGCCTCTGCCTTTGGCTTGTGTTGCAAACCTCAGGTCTGTGCCAGCCAGTTTTGAACCTTTCTTCTAATGAAGATTTCATCCTTTGTGTTATGTCAATAAGAGAGACACCCAAAACTAAACAGATTAGAAGAAAGGCCACTTGCGTATTTGCTAAATAGGATTGGAAAAAAGTCCTTTTTCCTCCCTGTTTTTTTCATGGGAAAAAGCCAACCTGGTTATAAGCATAAGTCCGGCAGAAATATCTTTGCTGGGAATACTGATCAGAGAGAAGGGTTCAAATACTTTTGGGGATAAGGATCCGGTAGCCTGTGTCTAGTTGGTATTTCCTTTTGGGTGTCCAGGGCAGCTCTTTGCTTGCTAATTTCTGAAATTGTTGTTCTTTTCTGTAATTTTAGGCTATGATTGGCCCTGGCTGTCAGATATTCTGAAAATGTAGTGTGGCAGCCCCAAGCTCTCTTTGGAGTTTTAGACTACACAGAGTTTGGTGAAATATTTTTTAATCTGATTTCTCAGTGAAAAGTCTGTTTGTCAATCAGTCTGTTGTTTTTTGGTTGGGGAGGGCAGAAAATCCACAAATAATGCATGAGAGAAGTGGACCATTATCCATGCTTGTAGATGGCAGATGACTGGTCAATATACATGTCCTTTTTGGCCATGCGTAGATCCAAAATACCATAACACACATTGTCCCTTGCTCTGGTGTCAAAAGAGAGAAGATTTTGAGTTACAAGAAAAAAAATACGTATCTAACTTTACATAATAACTTCTTGAAATACCCGTGGGTTTTTTAGTGTGGTAAATAAATGATGGTTTTTTAAACCAAAATAACCCCCTTATACCTTAGGTCTTCTGATACAAGGACCTTCAGGTACATACACTCCACTGGAGCAGTGACTCCCAGCTTTCACTACCATGTCCCTGAGCCCAACAAGTCTGTGTGGAGCCCACACTGGGCTTGTGGGACTGCTAGCTTGGGAACTGGGCTATGGTTCAGATAAAATATGCTCGTTCCTCATCTCTGAAGCCCACATTATTGGTTAGAAACTGTAGCTTTAGGTGAGCCCTGGTAACTCACTGAAACTTTGTGCCTCATCCTCTCTGCTCTGGTAAATAGAAACATCAATATTGGATAAATATAATTATATGTTTTGTCATAGCTTAAAGATGTTCTTCTTTATACAGATAAGCAACATTTTCTTACTGTCTCTTACTGTCTCTGGTTTAGAGATGTGGTTACTCACAGAGGAGTGGGTAAGCAACTCTACATGGAGCTCACTGAATTCACCAGGAAGCCCTTAGAGACTTCACTTAGCATTGGAGAGATGCCAGTATATCCCTGTGAAACACTTGAGGCAATTTGGTCCTATCTCCTGTGAATATTTATTTCAGTTTTCAGGGAGTAGTTCCACACCCTGGAGAGCAGAAAAACCACATGCATGGAGCTGAGCTGTATTTTAACAAAGCAACTGAGAGCAATATTTTTGCACTGCACAGGTAGTCGATATTCTAAATAATGTAATTGCATGCACACGCTTTGTTTATTACAGATAAAGCATCTCTATTAAAGTATTATAATTAAATAACCACCTTTTGTTGGAGCAGCTTTATTTTCTAAATTGTAAAACCACTTTCCCCTAGCACAAAACTTGTGCCAGAACTCAGTTGCCCCCTGAGGCCATGAGGACATTTGCAAATGCTTTGCTTCGCCATAACCAGGAGCTGGGTGGGTCTGGTGCTCAAAACATGCCACCTTTCAACACAAGAAGTAGGCTTTGGTGGTTACTTCTGGAGTTAATTCTTGACACCAATCAAAATCTTTAGTCATTAAATCATCTTTAATTTTAAAATAATTTAAATAACAGCTTTTCTCACTCTCTAGCTGAAGTCCTGTGTTAAGATGATGTTAGATACTTAGCGTATGAGGTCAAACAGGCAACTCTTGGACGTTCCAGTGTTGGTCCTCTGGTAAGACATGGGGTGACTCAGACTTCTGGAATTTTAAGTTATGAAATGTTGGGACTATTTGAGGCCCTGCTCCTTCCTATGCTTACCTCTTTGTGGAGCAATGATTCAGTGTCAGTTATAATGTGATTATAATGGGATGAGTATACACCATATTATTTTAAAACTAATTTATCTGTGTATCATTGGCTGATGTCATACATAAGATTGAAGAGTGGGAAAAGAAAAGCATAGCACATTTGGGCTTTTAAGATGGAAGCACTAAAGGGGTAGCTTAGGGTGACTGGACAACTAATAACATCAGTCAATGTGCTTCCCTTTAGCTAACCAGACATTTTCCAGTGAAGCATGCTACTGATAAAAAATAGTTATTTGAACCCAGAATATTTCATGGACACATCTAAGGGTTCATGGTCTTTCAGTATTCACAGGTAGGAATCTCTCAGCCATAGCAAAGCTTGGAAGTAGCCCCCCTGAAAGGCTCTTGGCTAAGGGAAAAAAACTGCCAATGTTAGCTGGTTTTGTGGCTACACAGCACTGACTAGTATAGGTGAAATGACCAATGCTAGGAGAATATTTTTTATGGGATACAACAGCTGCTGGTGTTCCAGCTTATGGCAGTTTTGACATGGAGGCCAGTCTTCACGAACGAAGATTTGGGAAGGGTCTTTACCCTTTGAGCCTGCACAGTGGATTTTTTAGGTGAGACACAGTGTGCGCTGAACTGAGCCCACCCTTTAATCCTAAGGTTCATCTGCTGGGGCCAAGTGAGCTCAGACGGTGGCAGCGAGGTCCTCAGGATGTAGGTTTTATGTTTTAGAGTGACCTTCTCTTAGATGGATGGCCTTACAGGGCTGATGAGCTCCATCTGCCTGGAGGAGTTCCCCGACCAGGAATCGAACCCTGGGCCGCGGCGGTGAGAGCGCTGCATCCTAACCACTAGACCACCGGGGGTCCTGACATGGAGGAGGGATATGGGGAATACCTGAACACCTGAGAATGAAAGTAGTAGGGCAGGTGGACTAAGATCCCTTCTACCTCAGGGCTGTCACGTTATTTAGATAAAAAAAATGTCTGTTTTTCTTTAAAAACACTTCTTTACTTTTTACTCCAAGTATGTGATTACAGCCAGTTTTGTAGTCTACATCACAAAAAGTCACTTATTGTTGGCTCGTCTAAGACATCAGAAAAAAATAAGAGTAAAAAAATGAGTAATATCTGTGTAGGCTTGGAGATCTAATTCCTGCTTTGTTTTTTTGGGCATTCCTTTGGAACAACATGAATAACATTTTCTAGGGTAATATGTGTAAGAGTAGTTTGCCCTTTGAGGGACTTGGGATGAACGTAACAGTTCTTGAAAAATTTAGGTTCAGCTCTGCTATTCCCAAGTGTTGGGATGAGCAGCTTCAAAGACTCTCAGGGATTTGTCTTTCCTCTCTGACCTTTCCCTCTGACTTTTCTTAACCTCACTGCTATTCAGCTCAAGACTTATCATAGCATATGGGTCCCAGTTCAGAGTTCCCTTCTTTTATGAGGTTGGGGTGGGCTGTTCAACACGTGTCCCACTGTTGTTAATGCCACGTACGGGAAAAGAGAGGTAAAGCCCTTTAGCTTCCGGAGCTGTCAGTCCGGGTACTTTTCACAAGCAACACATTCAGCCTTTTCTGGTGGCTCAAGCTGTTCCCTCTGAGCTTCCTGTACTGTGTTGATACGGCAATAGGCTACCAGATTTTACATCAAGAGCAGTGCCACAGCATTTCGTTATAAAAATTTATGGAGGTTGATTCAAGGTACCTGGAGAACTTTCTTAATTGTTTCCCTTACCTCTCTGGAGCTTCAAGGTCAATCTATTTTTCTGCCTACAAAGCCATCAGATTATTTCCTTTCCCATTGCATTCCCCTCTGGAGCACTCTCTCCATAGGAACATACACCTATGGGGAGAGGTATAGGCAATGCCTGGCTATTTTTGATGTATATTTTAGCAATGCCAGGTGCTTGCAATTCCTGGACTGTTAAGCTGTTGGAAAGCCTAGCTCCAATGACAATATGCCTGGTTTCCCACCAGCTCTCAAGCTCAGGCTTCTGGCCAGTGGTCCTGCACTTCTGATAGCTTTCAAGTTTTATATTCTTAGAAAATGTGTCCAAGGTTCCCTGGCAGGAACCAGACAAGGGGGCACTGCAGTGTAAAGGTCCAAAAACTAAACGATCTCAGGTTTTGGGGGTGAAAACTGGAATCTTTATTGAACACATGAAATGCTATTTAGGGGTCTCAGGGGCAGAACACACTAATGAGGAGGCCGGGTTATGCCAACTAGGGAACTACGCAATTGATTAGCATTTCCAGTAACAAGGATTACATAGGGGGGAAAAATGATTAACATTTCCCATATCCAGGATTACATGTGGGGGGAAGAGGATTAATATTTCCAGTAACCAGGATTACACTGTGGTTAACATTGGTTAACATTTCCTGAAACGAGGATTACAAGGGAGGAGAGAAAACAAATGGGCTTCTGCATGGACTGATAGCATCATCACAAAGTCTTTCCATATCCTGCTGCAGGAGATAGGACAGTCCACACGGTTGAATATCAGTGGGTCTTGTCTGGCCCTTAGATGATGAAATTTCCCTCAGCTCCTGTTGTCCACGGCCTGCTACATAATCCTAACAGTTCCTTTTCTGCTGATATCTGAATTTTGGATTGCTACACTGCAGGATGTGCCCA